CGCGGAACTCGGACTTTTCGGAATTTTGGAACACAAATCGCGAATGGAAGGGATTTGTGGCACACAAAAATCATACTTAACTTGGGATCCTGGTGGTGAAGGCGATGCCGTGCTCGAAGGCTGGAAATGGTTGGGGAAGGCGACGTAGATCCGGCTCGAAGGACCAATGATTGAGCGTAGAGGCGTGCGAAGTTCCACAGTTGATTTCCCAAAGATAAAATACTACGCAGTTCCAATTTCTTCAAAGTTTACAGGTTTAGGGTTTTATTCGTAGTGTTAATTGTAGTTAAATATGTATATGTATCGCGCGCAAAAGCCGGCCGATTTGCTTCGGGTGGAATAGCGAATTAAAACTAGATCGGTGGCACTCAAGCTGCCGAGGGCTGTCGGCGGCGAGAGCGGGAGCGCCAGCGTGGTGAGTATGCGCGCGAAAGCGCGTCGCCGGGGGGAAAAATGCTCTTAAGAACGAGGGCGAGAGCGAGGCGACCGCTTGTGTAGCTGGAACGCTAACAGCGATGTGTGGCTGGAATGCCCACAGAGCTGTTGCCCCGCCAGCGCCGTCCTCACTCTGAACAGAGTTTAACATCATCCGCATACACGAGTACTCGAGAGTTTGTTAATACTGAAGGCAGATCATTAATAAAGAGTGTGAATAGTAGGGGGCCTAGATGGCTGACCTGTTGTACTCCAGAAGTAACCTTAACAGGTGAAGAGGAGTTTTTGAAGAGGACTCTTTGAGACCTGGAACGAAGGTAGCTAGAAATCCATCTCAAAAGATTAGGCGGAAACCCTAGAACCCACCATGACTGAAAGTTATTGAGATCAAATTGCAAGCGAGAGTGAAATGAAATGAAATACTGGACACAGAGTTTGATTGAGCGTAGAGGCGTGCGAAGTTCCACAGATGTTTCCCACAGATAAATATGACAGGCAAATCCAAATTCTTCCAAGTATATTTCGGGGTTTATTCGTAGGCTTAGTTTATATATATATATGTATGTATCGCGTGCAAAAGCCGTCCGTTTGCTTGTGGGTGAAGAAGCGCCTTGAATGTCGATCGGTGGTGCTCAAGCTGCCGAGGGCTGTCGGCGGCGAGAGCGGGAGCGTGAGCGTGGGCGGGAGCGCAAGCGTGGTGAGTATGCGCGCGAGAACGCGTCGCCGGCGGGAAAAACGCTCATAAGCGTGCGAGAGCGAGGGCAACAGCTTGCGTAGCTGGATTGCTAACAGTGGTGTGGCTGGAATGCCCACAGAGCTGTTGCCCTGCCAGCGCCGTCCTCATGACGTTGTATATATTGGGCTTTGAAGAGATCGATTGCTTTTGAACCTGCGCAGGTTTTTTATCTACTTTGATTTCTTGTAGTGATTTTTAATACTGTATTTGTTGTTTGTATATTCTTTAAGTCTGCAATGGTTATTATTGATAACGCATCTGTTATATGGTTGTCCTTTCCCTTAAGATACTCCACAGTAAAATCATGTTCCTCCAAATCTAGTCTCATACGTGTTCATTTTGAGCTGGGGTTAATCATAGAAAATAAATAGGTAAGTGGCCTATGGTCAGTTTTGACAGTGAAATGTTTGCCATAAATGTATGGTCGAAAATGATTTATTGCCCAATGTATTGCCGCTAATTCTTTTTCTGTTGTGTTTTTATTACTTTCTCCATTTGTGAATGATCTTGATGCATACGCTACTGGTAGCTGAGTTATTATAATTTTGTGTTAGAACAGCACCACATGCTTGTTTACTTGCATCCGTTGTTATACAAAATTCTTTGCTAAAATCTGGATATTGCAGTAAGGTTGGTTTCATCAATTGTTCTTTTAAATATTCGAATGCTTTCTGACATTTATCTGTCCATTCGAAGTTAACATTCTTTTTACATAATCTTGTTATTTGACATGAATAATCGGAAAAATTTTGAATGAAACGTCTATAATAATTGCAAAATGCAACGAATCTTCTAGCGCTATCTGCGTCCGTTGGGACTGGGTATTTCTCTATAACGTCATATTTCTTGTCGTCTGGTAAAATACCTTTATCAGTACACTTATGACCTAGAAAGGTTACTTCGTGTCTGTTGAGCTATTGAGATTTTTCAATAGCGTAGAGTTAAATCGACAATTTGTACTTTGATTAATTCACAACACAGTTTGTTTGATTATGTTAGTTTCTTTATTTTCCATGCAAGGCGAGTGGGAATAGAATATGCAAGAGTTAGCAACAGGCGGACCCGTGGTGGACCGTGTTGAAGCGAAAACAATAATGGGTTTTTGTATAAAAGGTAATAACAATGTAGCAGGTCACTGTGCCAACCGACGATATGTTGTACGTTTGATGATGCTAGATTTCGAAGTGTCTCTGCTGCGCAGACGAGCCTCCCTCACAGCCTTCGTCGGCTGACGATTTCGGGAGGGGGAAAATGACTCATGAGCGCAGAGTCAGGTAGGCAATGTTGTGCATAAGAGCTTAGCTCTGCTCTCTTTGCGCTGCCATGGGCCGGCGCTTAGCCGAACATTCTCCCCCGTTGAAGAGCACGGGTCTTCGACATCATTCTTTGGCAGCATACACAGCTTTGCGATAGCCCTCGTGGTGCTCCCAGTAGCCGTTTTGAGCTCAGCTACCCTTGAAACGCCATCTCTGCCGGCGATCAGTTTCGTTACCCTTCCCAGCGGCCACTTAAGTGGAGGCACGTTCTCGTTCTTTACGAGGACCACGTCGCCGACGCTGAGGTTAGGCTGCTCAGTCCTCCATTTTGCCCTCTCCTGCAGAAGCGTGAGGTACTCCTCTCGCCAGCGGGCCCAGAAAGTCTGCTGCAGGAACTTGACCTGCTGCCAGCGATCAAGACGATTGAAGTTGAGTCCGGTCACATCTGGTTCTGCGAAGGTACGGATTGGAGCAGTACCTAAGAAATGCGCAGGTGTTAGCACTTCTAAATCGTCGGGATGCTCTGAAATGGGAAGCAATGGCCTTGAGTTTATTATGGCAGTGATGTGGCACACAAGCGTTCTCAGGTCATCAAAGCACAGCAAGGAGCTGGAAGCGGAACGGTAGAAATGATGTTTGGCTGTTTTAACCACAGCCACCCAGAGTCCGCCAAAGTGGGGAGAGCGAGGGGGAATAAACCGCCAGTCAATATGATCCGCAACGCAAAACTCCTGAACTTCCTTCATATGCCTTTCTGCCAGGAACAGCTTCTTCAACTCTGCCAACTCGTTCTTTGCTCCCACAAAGTTGGTTGCGTTATCGGACCAAATTTCCCTGGGCCGACCGCGAGTTAAAATGAATCGCTTTAGTGCGCTTATGAACGCTGGCTTCGATAGATCCTGCACAAGCTCCAAGTGAACGGCCTTGGTGGCAAAGCATATGAAGAGGCATATGTAGCATTTGATGGGTGGTCTGGTCCGCACCTCACTCTTATAAAAGAACGGACCACAAAAATCCACACCGGTGACTGCAAAAACGTACGACGCATTCACACGATCCTTCGGCAAGTCGGCCATAATATGCTGCAGCAGGCGCGGCTTGGCCTTAAAACATCTGGTGCAGCGATTTACGACGCTGGCCACTGTCTTGCGCCCTCCAATCGGCCAATACTCATGCCGAATAAGTGCGAGCAATGACCGAGGCCCAGCGTGCAGATTCTGCTCATGGACATGCACAATTACAGCAGATGTAACGGGATGACGCCTTGGAAGAATGACTGGGTGCCGTGCGTTGAAATCAAGTGATGAATTTTCCAACCGCCCACCGACGCGTAACAAGCCATGGTCATCCAGGAACGGCGCGAGTGACGAGATGGAGCTAGACGACTGCACCTGCTGTTCGTCACGCAGAGTCTTGTAGTCAGGCCACAAATGCACTCGCTGAATCGAACGAAGAAGTATCCGCGTACCACCAACGATGTCAGCTACTGTTAATCCGGACGACCTTTTGCGCTGCAGAAACTTGAATACATATCCAAATGTGCGCTGGATCTTTCCGAAGGAATTGGAGAACTTTCGGCCGTCAGATAAGTCTACGAATGGACAAACTGCAATCAGGACTCTCTTGCGCAACTCCAGTGTTGGCGCAGATTGAATAGACGCTGCTGGCCACAGAGGTTGCTCATCTTGAAGAAAGGGTGGCCCGTGGGCCCAAAGATGCGATTCCAGAAGCTCTGACGGCGAAGCGCCTCTGGACAATATGTCAGCAGGGTTCTGGGCGGTGGGCACGTAGCGCCACTCCATCTGAGCAGTCCGCTCCTGAATGGCTGAGACCCGATTTGCAACGAATACGTTAAAGCTTGATGAGTCATGGCGCACCCAAGACAAGGCAGTTGTGGAGTCCGACCAGCAATAGAAGCTTCCAGTGAACAATTTAAGTTTCTGTATCTCACTGATCAATTGAGAAAGCAAGTCAGCGCCACATAACTCCAACTTGGGCACCGTCAATACCTTAAGAGGGGCGACACGAGACTTCGCACACAGAAGTTGCACGTGCGCGCGATTATTTGTCCTTGACACAACGTAAATACATGCTCCATAGGCGTCTAGGCTGGCGTCACAAAACCCGTGAACTTCCACTGTTGAATTGGGGAGAACTGACAGAAGAGGAAATCTAAACAGCTGAGGGGTGGACAAACTCTCGCAGAAAATGGTCCACGCTGATGAAAGAGACTCTGGCAAACTCTCATCCCATTGGAGCTGCTCCTTCCATACCAACTGAAGGAAAATCTTTGCCTTTGCGATGACAGGCCCAATCAGTCCTAAAGGATCATAAAAACGAGCAATCGTTGACAACATTGAACGCTTCGTCGGCTTTGATGGCAGCTGCATGGGTACTACCGAAAAGAGAAAATTATCAGATGAAGGCTCCCAAACCAATCCAAGAGCCTTTGTGAAGTCGGTGCCATCGTCGAACCTTAGCAGCGTTTCCTTATCCATGTCAGGAATTCCCTCAAGTACGCCAGGGACGTTGGAGCACCATTTCCGAATTGGGAACCTTCCCCGAGCCAATAACTAGGATGTCTGCCTCATCTTTTCGCGTACTTCCTCTACAGATCCTCCTCCAGTCATCAAATCGTCGACATAGAAGTTGGAGGTCAACACTTCCGAGCCAATGGGAAATGCAGTCCTCTCTTCTTCTGCCAATTGGAGCATGGAACGAATTGCAAGATAGGAAGCCGGTTTGGTCCCATATGTTACTGTGTCGAGCTTGAACGCCTTCACATCCTCGTTAGGGGAATCCCTCCATAAGATGCACTGCAGGTAATTGTCCGGCTCAGATACTCGGACACACCTGTACATCTTGCAAATGTCACCAGTCAGCGCAATGAGGAACGTACGAAAACGAAGCAGCGTATGTAGCAGCTTTGGCTGGATAGTAGGCCCCGCCATTAGGACCTCGTTTAACGAAAAACCTGTTGATGTTGTGGCAGATCCATCGAACACGACCCGCAATTTGGTGGTCGTACTGTCCTCCTTAAACACGCAATGATGCGGTAGAAAATAGCGACAACGACTGAGCAGTTCTGATTCCACCAACGACATATGATTAAGCTCTTGGTACTCCCTAATGAAAGATGCGTACTGAGCCTTCAGCTGCGGACGACGCTCAAGTTTCCGCTCCAAGTTGAGGAACCGCCGATATGCTTGCGTGTATGAGACTGCCAAGATCTCCAAACTTTTCTTGATGGGCAGCTTCACGGCAAACTCTCCAGATGACAGGCGCGAGAAATTTGCTTTGAAGTGATCTTCACAATCGACATCCTCCTGCTTGACCATCACCGAATCTTCAGTGGAACTTTCAACCTCCCAGAAACGCCTCAGTAACAGTTCCACTTGATCAAGAGACTCCTGCCTGGCGTCAGATGAGGCCTGAGCCTCAAGTAAGGCTGTCCTACGCGTTTGCTGACCACCTCCTGAAACCACCCATCCAAGGCGAGTCTTCTGAAGCGATGGCAAGCCAACATCCAATTTGATTTGGCCAATGCACAGCAGCTCGAAGAATAGGCTAGCCCCAATGAGCAGGTCAATACGCTGTGGCCTGAAGAACTGCGGATCTGCCAATGGTAAATTCGGCGGAATTTTCCAACCAGAAACGTCAACTGAAAAGCTGGGCTGCTGCTCGGTGATTGTGGGAGCTACCAACGCGACGAAACTGGTACTGTAGTCAGAGGCTTGGGACTGCAAGTTGAGTCCCACAGTATAGCCCTCCGATACAAAACTGGAATCCCCAAGACCCGATACTGCGGCCGACGACATGGTCCTTTTCAGTCTAAGTTGTTGGGCGAGGCTGGAGGTTATAAGGTGCATTTGTGATCCGGAGTCCAAGAGTGCCCGACATGGTACGAGCGATCCAGCACGATCCCTCAGCAGAACAACTGCAGTGGCTAAGAGCACAACATCCCTGCAAGAGTTCTGTGCAACCAGAGAGGCAGCTGAGGACTGTGGCTGCGCTTCAGGGTGCGGGAATGAAGAGACAACGGGTTCCGTGGGCGAGGGTCTGGCGTTTAAATGCAATAAGGTGTGATGTTTGCTACCACAGTGACGACAAGTTGATGACCTGCAAGTGCGCAATTGATGGCCAGCCTTCAGGCAATTCAGGCAAAGACCAAGCTTTTTCACCTCAATTAGGCGAAAAGACGGCGAAAGATTCCCAAACAGCGCGCATGTATATATGCTATGGCCAGCAGTATTGCAAAATAGACACTCAAGAGAAACAGACTCAGTGGCTACAAATGAACTTCTAGGGTTGCTCTGTACTTTTTTTTATCTTTCCCACCTGAATGCCAGGCGTATACATTGCCATAGCGTGCTCCCGATTCTCCAACTTCTGACATCTTTGCTCCAGAAAAGCGGTGAATTGTTGGCTTGTGGGTATGCTGTCCAGCGATGACGTTTTCTCCCACTTGGCTTGCGTAGCGCTGTCCACCTTCTGCAGCAGGCTGTGTATCAAGATACAGTCTGCAATCTGCTCCGTTGTTCCCATACTCTGCAAAGCCCGAAGATTAGCATTCACAGTGTCCGTGACATGCGCCTGAAAAATTAAACGTTTGTTATTAAAACGCTTATCAAGGAGGTCTAGCGCGATGGGATAGCTGGCGTGCGTGAACTCTAGAGACGAAATAGTGTCTAGTGCTGGTCCTTTCAGGCAGGAACGCAGGAACGCTGCAGCTTCTCCACATTTGACAAATCGGTATCCTTGTCTATTATGGAGGAAAACATGCTCCAAAACGAGGAATACTGAGCGTAGCCACCACTGAACTCAGGAAGCTTCAACTCCGGCAGGCGTGGCCGACTTTGCACAACGACCGTAGTTGGGGCCTCTCCTACATGGTCCGTCCGCATTGTTGAGCATGGTAGCATTGTGGGCTGCCGCTTGTTTAACTCCCGTTTCATGCGAATCTCCAGCATGACCACGCACTCGTCAAACTCCTCCCTCAAGGGACTACCGATCTCATCGAGATCAATCCTCTCCAGGGCATTATGGTGCTCGTTGAATGAAACTACAAGCTCCGCTAGCAATTTCAGCCTCACGTTCAGTTCCTTCTCGTTGAGCTCGCCAATTCTCTCCTTGCCAACGGCCGTTTCGATTCTCCGTGCTGCCCCTACCATGGATTGCACCTTGCGCTTGTAGAATGCAGCTTCCGAATCGACGAACAATGGTGAGGGGGGCAAGAGTGAGGGGGTGCTATTAGAAGCCATTGGGTAGGTTTACGACGCACTGGGTTACAGTTTCTGAAGCACGGAGAGGTTAATAACCGGTGAATAACCTCGAACAGTTTGATAGGAACTGTACACTCGATCGCAGCGCTCAAACACACGGGCTCACAGTTCTACAGGCCAGCAGCTTCACAGTTTTAAAAGAACTGAGTAGGTGCAGCTGACAACAACAATGGCATGCACACTTAGAGCACCAAAAACCGAAACGAAACAACCGCAAGACAAACCGCAAAGCAGATGACGCGAGAACCGTTTATGTTGCTTGCGCACAGACGCCGAATCGAAAAACCGTGGTACAAAGCGAATTAAACAACCGACAAGTGTTATTTGCAAGGCATATATATGTGTATATATATAAATATATATCGATTAAATCACGTCGGGGTCACCAAAATGTTGAGCTATTTAGATTTTTCAATAGCGTAGAGTTAAATCGACAATTTGTACTTTGATTAATTCACAACACAGTTTGTTTGATTATGTTAGTTTCTTTATTTTCCATGCAAGGCGAGTGGGAATAGAATATGCAAGAGTTAGCAACAGGCGGACCCGTGGTGGACCGTGTTGAAGCGAAAACAATAATGGGTTTTTGTATAAAAGGTAATAACAATGTAGCAGGTCACTGTGCCAACCGACGATATGTTGTAAGTTTGATGATGCTAGATTTCGAAGTGTCTCTGCTGCGCAGACGAGCCTCCCTCACAGCTTTCGTCGGCAGACGATTTTCGGGAGGGGGAAAATGACTCAAGAGCGCAGAGTCAGGTAGGCAATGTTGTGCATAAGAGCTTAGCTCTGCTCTCTTTGCGCTGCCATGGGCCGGCGCTTAGCCGAACAGTGTCTAAAGAATGAGCACTTTTCTGGGTGCAATTTAAGGTTGTGTTTCCTACACATATCAAAAACGCTGGTGAGGTTTTTAATCATGTGTTTCTCGGAACAACCGATGACAATTAGGTCATCCATATACAAGAATGCCTGAGAAGGTTCGATACCTGAAAATGCAATTGTCATCATTCTTTGAAAAGAATTGGGCGCTATTTTTAAACCATATGGTAATCGCGTGAAGCGATAGGATCCATTGCTCGTTGAAAACGACGTTATTTTTCTTGAACTTTCTTCAAGTTCTATTTGATGAAAACCTGACATCAGATCTAGGCATGAAAAGTATTTACCTCTACCTATTTGATCAAGAATATCATATATTCTGGGAAGTGGAAATTTGTCTGATAAAACTTTGTTATTTATTTGGCGGTAGTCAATCACTAGGCGCCATCTTTTACTATCTGAATTCGGTAATGATTTTTTCGGGACAATTAATAATGGACTGTTGTATTCAGAGACTGAGGGTTCTACTATTTTGTCTTTTATTAGCTTTTCTACTTGCTTTATTACTTCCTCTTTTTGACTGTGGGGAATTCTTTAGTTATACCCGTACTCAAAAAATAGTTAAGGGGTATATTAGATTTGTGGTAAAAGTGGATGTGTGCAACGCAGAGAAGGAAACGTTTCCGACCCCATAAAGTATATATATTCTTGATCAGCATCAATAGCCGAGTCGATATAGCCATGTCCGTCTGTCCGTCCGTCTGTCCGTCCGTCTGTCCGTCCATCCGTTCGTCCGTCTTGATGAGCGCCTGGATATCAGAGACTATAAAAGCTAGAGCAACCACATTTTGTTTCCAGACTCATTTAATATCACACTGCTACAAGTGTATTTCAAAATTTCGCCCGCCCCCTTCCGACCCCACAAAGGACGAAAATCTGTGGCAGGCACAATTTTAAAGATACGATAAAACTAAAAACGCAGTATCGTAGGGAATGCCCATATCTATCAGATTGCCGAATCAGATCGGATCATAATTATAGCCAGAATGAAGAAATTAATTTTCACTTGCTTCCCCTGCCCCCGTCTGACAGCAACCAAGCAACTCATTTTCCTTCTCGCTCGCACACTATGCCGCGTTCAGTGCGCGAGCAACCCCTAGCGGAGGAGATGTAGAATCTAAATGGTACATGTATAATCTACATGTTAGATGTAGAATATACATAATATATGTAGATGTAGATAGCAGATGTACCAAAAAAATGTAAAATGTAAAATTTTTTTTTAATTTTAAAATTCTAAAAAATCATAAGCTCAAAAATGTATATACTGATTGAGTACGGGTATACGTAGAGTCGCGTCCCCAGAAGCGACTCACACGCTCCTTCTCGTTTTTTATATATATCGGTTCATCATCTTTCATTCTTATCTTTTGCTTATAAAAATTATTAGTTGATATCGATACGGTTTCTGTTCCGAATATATCACAGTATTTGGTGCATAATTCTGTAAGAATGGTTTTGAATTGTATGGGGAAGTTTTTATCTAACTTGTCTAAAATTTCGGTCTGATTACACTACTCGACAAAATCGAACTTTTTTTTTCCACAAGGATCCAAACCGACTTTTTCTGATAGATATGGAGATTTAAAATTTTTTAAAGAATTATGGTTTTTTTTCTATGGCAGAACTTTTTTTTGAAAAATTTTTGAAGTCTAGTTTTTTTATTTAAGCTTTTTCAGAGGAAGCGCTTGTTTTTTTCACATAACTCTAGTATCTTACGTCTGGTTGTAAAGAACTTTGCTTTTTTGAAAAGATAATTAACACAGCTAGAAGTTAAGCCTAAACACTTTGTGATTACAGCTTACCGTCTGGGAAATATAAAGCATTGAAATGCAAAAATGATGATTTTTGTGCTGTATTTTTTACGAAATTTTGACTTTAAAAACTCAGGAAAAGTCGAAAAAAAATGATATCCTGTGTCTTCTATTTTTTTGTGTATAGGTGCATTAATTTGGCGTCGTTCCAGGTATCGTTCATTAAAATCTATGGAGAGACTTTGGAGCTAAAATTCGTTAACCAAACCTAAAATATGGAAAAAATGAACAAAAAATACCTTTTGGAAGGTTGCGAGCCCAACTGCCCATTGGGAACAAAGGAGCGCGATCGGGTACCAAATGTACAACCCTTGTTCATTTGCACGCAACAAGGCTCCAATCAAGTGCTACGTCTGCGGCCTCATTTGTTTCGCGACCAAGGCCGTTCGTCTAGAGCTGATCAAGGATCTATCGACAGTCTCTTTTCTCCACGGCCTAAAGCGCTTTATATGCACCAGACGAAAGCCACGGCAAATTTGGTCAGACAACGCAACCAATTTTGTCGGTGCAAGGAACGAGCTCGTGGAACTAAGACGTCTGTTTCTCAGCGATGATCATCAGAAGGCGGTTCTGGATTTCTGTTTGGTTGAGTCCATTGATTGGCACTTCATCCCGCCGCGCTCGCCGCACTTTGGTGGCCCATGGGAAGCTGCAGTGAAGACGGCCAAGTACAACTTCTATCGGGCGATAGCCAATTCTGTTCTTGGATTTGACGAGCTGCGGATGCTTTTATGCCACATCACGGCAGTCATTAATGCAAGACCTTTAGTTCCCATTTCAGAGAGTCCTGCCGATCTTGTCGTTTTAACTCCAGCACATTTCTTGAATGGCGGCCCTCCTGCT